TTCTTCTCATCTCTCTATCTTGACACCATTCTTTGTTGTTGAGTTCTTCCAACTATAAAAGAAACATAAACCCTACATTCTTCATTTGATTACTCTTTTATCGACTTCTCTATTGAGAATTCTGTCGGTCTTTCTATTGGAAGACTCAAAGATTTATGTGAATGAGCCAAAGAATTGGTAAGTTATGCTACTCCTTTAAAGTTTTATTTCGTATTATTTTTTATTGATGTTTCTAATTTTTGGTTTAGGATTTACTCTTTAGTTTTCTAAAATTATTTTTCTTTTTTGCATGTTTTAGTTGTGTTAAGCCATTGATGATGGAAATTAAGATCCAAGATGGCGTGAATAAAAAAAGGTAAGTAATTTCTTCACTTTCTTACTTCTTCTTTTATGGTCTTTCTCTTGATTATGTTCTCTTTTTTTTTTTAGGTCTTAGTATATTAATAAATTTATTTTTTGCTTTTTGGAAGTGATTTGTCATAATGTCATCAACTCAATCACTCACATCTCAAAAGAAAGAAAGAAAAAAACTCTAGAATTTCATATTCGATCATGTAAAAATTGAAATCGCATAAATTAAGAAAGCAAAATTTGGAAGCTTGCATCTCATTTTATGCACACAAAAGTGATTAAAATCCAAATAGTAAAGAACTAAAAAATAAATCAAATTAAAGTGATTTTGTTCAAGATCTATGGTTTGTTGATAACATCACGAAAAAAAAATATTGAAAAGATAAAACTCATAGTTTTTGTAAATTGGAGAAATTGAGTAGGTTTGATTAAGAAACTTGTAAATAATCAAGTGTTCAAATCAAATTGCCTAGGATAAATATCTAATAAATTGTTGTTCTATTACTTTATTTAGGATATTTTAACATATATTTTTATTCTAATTGTTATTTTATCCTTTAAATGACTAAATTTCTCTTAGTTTTGTTGTAGGAAGTGGTGACAATGCAACTTGGTTAAAATAGATCAAATCATGAAGACACTTGAACTTGACCTATGCCTTTCTCCATCTCCTTCTCCTCATCTCCATCGTAGAGCTATACTTTCGTAAGAATAGATCAACCACAAGAATTTTTCTTTCCTTATTATTTGTGATTGTGGATGTTTTGTGTTTAGTTACCTATGTGTAACTAAATAACTCTTGTTATAGGACTAGGGTAGATTCTTGTGATGTAACATTCTTGAACACCAGTTTAATTTTATGATATTGATATTATTTGTCAATTATAGTTATCTTTTTATGTTATTATTATTATTTTTAAATTAGTTATTTAAGGATAAATCATAGTTAATAAGTTGATAGGCGATTGTACCATTAATAAATTAATAAAACTAAGAGATAATTTAAGTATAAGAGTTAAAGGAATCAATCTATCACCTATACTTCCAATCAGTTGATTGAGTTTAACAAATCTAATGTTTTGTAATGTTCTTATTTATCTTGTTGCTTTATATGATAATTAGGGTAATATATAGATAAAAAAATGCTATTATTACATGATCATTGAATATTGGTAATAAATGATTAGATGATTAGTAATTGCTCTAACACAAATAAAAAAAATTTGAATTATGAAATATATAAGTAATCATAAGAAGAAACCAAAACCCTAAGCTTTTATCCATATCAAAATAACTGAGTTCTTCATTTTTTTTTAATTCTAAATTTAATCGAAACATTTTCAACTTTTGAATTTTCTTAACATATAATGAATAATAGTAGTAAGTACTTGCAATATAGTCTCTATAGGAATGATCCTAGGAGAGTCTTAAACAATTCTATTTTACTATAATTGACGAATATATTTGCTTGTTGGTTAAAAACTTTTTCAGAATTTAAAATCTGCAACAATATAAATGAGAAAAAAATATTAACAATGAAAAGGTTTGAGTAAAAAAATTAGATTTTTAAATTAGAAAGATTAAAATAGTTAATATGTAACATTTAACTTAATAGGTGTTGCCAAATCAATTTTTTTTAAGAGCAGTGACAACATTTTAAAAAATTGTAAATAAAAAAATGTTGCCAAAAAGCTTATTAGTAGTAACGGTAGAAGATGGAAAAAAAATAGTAACTTTGCAAATGATTAATAAGTGAAAGTCTGTTAAATAATCAACCAACATTAATGATGATTACGATGACTTAGAAGGTGTTTTGCTCTCTCTTTTAATGGGCTAAATGTCAATGCTTGGAGGAGGAGAATGTGTCATAATGGTGAGGATTGCAACATAGACTATGTTAAGATGAAAATTATCTCCTTTTAGAGAACAATAATTGAAATGTTTAAATGAAACAAAAACATAAGATTGACTTGATCAGTAAATGTTGCAGTTAATCTTAAAGAAAAAAAAATAAAAATTGTTTATTGCTAAGTTTTTTTATTATGATGTTATTTGGTTAGATCATATTAATATAGGTTAAAAAAAATATTGAAACTTGGATAGAGATAAAGTGAATCATGAGAAAATTTGTTCTAATAAGTGTTATAAAGATTTATATCAATAACTACAAATCTTGACACAAGAATTTATGAGTGTTAAAAATTATCATAAGTATCATAGAAATTTACATTATTGGCTAAAATCTTGACACAAGGATCCATGAATGTTAAAATTATCATAAGGATGTGAAAATAGCCTTGATAAAAGCTAGTATGGAAGAGAATTGGAAGTCACTGTGATGTCAATCTTAAATGGATTGAACAAGAATATAACTAATTTGGTAGAATTTAAACATAATGTTGAGGGTGGAGATACATTAATGTAGCAATAAAAATTGGAAGGCAACTCAAACAAAAAGACATAACCAAGTATCATTCACATCCTTATTCAAAATCTTGTTCTAATTGAAAATTTATTTGGAGTGAAAAGGAAGATAAACCCTTTGTTCATCCTAAAAATTATGTTTCTAAAAGAAAAGACAAATTAGAAACAAAAAATTGAGTGAGAATCAACAAAGACAAATTAGGAAATTAAATTATTCCAAGTTCCTAGCACATAGTCATATGACATTTCAATGTCTTAATAAAAAAAGTTATGATCATAAGACACGATAAAGATGTTAAATCATCTAATAATAAAAGAAAGGATGATCTAAGTGATAATATTATTTCACTTTTAAAAATATGATAGTGACGTAAAGTATGGTAGAGGTGAAGTGTTAGTTGTTCAACACAAGATTAAGTGTACTAGGTAAACATGATGAGTATGCAGAACACCATGATAACCTATTTCATACTCATTGTTTACTTGATAACAAGTTCTGTAATGTCATTATGGATAATGGACTTTGCACCAATGTGAACAAGATATATTTTGTACCCATATATTTTATATTTTTAAAGATTAATCTAAAATTTAGTTTCTTTTAAATTAAGATGAGAATTAGTGAAGAATAGAAAATAACATTTATAATATAATATAATTTATAGGAATGCTTAGTTATATCTTTTAGTTTAACTAACGTGACTGATATTTTTATGAGACTAATAGCTCATGTTTTACAAATATTCATAGGTAAATTTATTATTATTTATTTGGATGACATTGTAGTTTATGTGAATAATCGAGAAGATTTATTGCATCTAAAAGTTAATATTAATGTTTTAAGAAAAGAAAAGTTGTTTAGTAACCTTTAAATTTTTTGCTTTTGCACCAGTACAATTACCTTCTCAAAATATATTGTTAGCCCATAAGTTGTTTAAGTTAATTAAGAGAAGGCTACAGTGATCTTAGAATGGCCTAAACATCAGTCGATTAGTGAAGTTAAGAAGTCTCAGTTTAATTTGCATAGGAAGTTTGTTAAAGATTTTAGTAGTATCAAAAAATTAATTAAGATAATCAGAAAAGGTTTTTAGTCTGTTAGAAAGAAAAACAACATATTGTACTTATTCTAAAATTATCTAATTTTGATATTTTTAATAAATTAAATATGATATTTCTGGATATGATATTAGAGCTCTTTTGATACAAGAAAAGAGATCACTTGTTTTCTTTAAACAAAAACTAAGTGAAACATCTTTAAATGATCTTACATTGGTGAGAACTATGAGAATTATGTATGCTCAAAAGAGTTGGTAAGTTATTCAAGTATGATTTTCTCTGCAATTTAATAAAGTTTACAAGTATTGTCACGGTTTCCTTTTATCATAATATTGGTTTTCCAGTGTTCGTTGTTGTCGTTGAATTTCCAATTCAAATGGGACCGAATAAAAACACAAGCCCGTAAACAGGTCAGCCTTTTTCTGCTACTCAAAGGACCCACCACCCCATAAGAATGCACCTTCTAGCCCCGGCAACGCGTGCTTCCACTCCACGTCCATTTAACTCCCTCTCTCTAGCTCTTCTTTTTTAATTATTTTTCTTCTATTGCATATTTATATAATATAATATAATAATGTACACTTCTAAAAGAGAGAGAAGCTTAGCCTCACAAGCATGCGGTCATGTTGATAAGGGTGAGGGTACACATGGATCTAATCTAATACGTATTATTATATGTATATGGATTTTCGTACACATATTACCCGAATTGTATGCACAACAGTTTCTAAATTAAAATATATCCATTAACATAGCATTGCACCCACATGGCCAGTTAACATCTATAATCATTGCCACGGGTCTATACCGAGTAATGCCGAAAAACCCATCAAATAGCATATTGCACCTATTTTTGCATAGCACGGGTACGAAACATCCATAATTGATGATTCACTCCTTGCTACATCAATGTTACGGAATCAAACAAAAGAATTAGGATGGGATGAACCCATGATTTTGTGTCCCCGTTTTTTATATGTGAAAACTGAAAACCTATGGTTGGATTTGAGATCCTGAGGGCAGTTACTAGTTTGAACAACTGCGAGAGATACCCTCTAATCGTACGGTCAGGATCGATCTGTCGGCGCAGAGAAGATGCCACCTTAAGCACCTTCATATTATAGGCACGCTTCAATTATACAATAACATATAGTCATGTGCAATTTGTATATTATTATTACTACAACTGAGACAACTATTTTATGACAGAGAAATTTTAGGTGCATGTGATTCACCTCAGCAGGCTAAGCTGTTCTGGTGATGATTTGTCTTGAGCAAACCAAGGCCTTGTGATCCTCAACAATAATATAATTCTAAATAGTGCTTATAATACTTATATATATTTATTCATCTTCCTTTCTTTACTGTTAATTTAATATATCCGCATTGCTGGACCTGTCTCAGGCATCTCCTCCACAAAACTTGAATCACATTGGTCAAGACACTGGGATTTGTTTGGCATGCCTCTAACCTCATGCAATAGCACTTCGGTTTCTGTGTCTTTAAGAGAGAATCTTAAATTCTCAACAGTTCTATTATATTGTAGTATTCTATTTAATCCCCAACAGTATATCTGACGAGGCTGATGGGGAATGTGAGAGCATATTAGCAGAGTCTTCATCAACTTAAACAATGTTGTCGCTTAAGTTGGGTTGTAAAAGGAGGAGCTTCTTGCCTTTCATTCTGTGATCTCCTTTTGTTCTGTTGTCTTCTTGTTCAGCAGAAAATTTTGCTGTCCTTGGCTAATTGAATTCTTGCAGGTTAGAAACTATATTCTATTTCTCATAATCTTTTGCATTGGAATTCAAGGGTTTCCTGTCTTGTGATTCTTGTTTAAATTTACATGCTGATTTTTTAAACTGATACAGAGCCCCCACTTTCTTCCCTTTTTTGGCCTGCAAATTTTGTTTCATATTTCTATATTTCATAGTTATTATTTTTGGGGGTGGGGGTGAGTTTGCATAACTTTAATGAGCGTGCTACAAAGTGTCTCTACTGTGTATTAAAGATGATATGGTGATACAAGTTTGGGATTTATGTCATCTCATTGGTGTGAAGGTTTAATGTGTGGTTGCAAATTGAAATATTAGATTGTAGGGAGGGAATAGAACAAAAATGGAAGCCTTAAGAAATATTTTGAAAGTTTGAAAGGTGAGCGTCTGCTATCTCATGCACGACGAATATGCTTTGGCATAATGCCAGGCACTTGCTGGGAACCTTAATTCATCCTAAAAAATTATGCAAAAGCATTGTCTCAATCATTCATTCCTTTACATCTCTAGAGTAATAGAGATGGTTGTCTGCAGATAGTTTAACAAAGAAAAAAATCATTATGAAAAGCAAAAATTAATTATTGTAGAAGATACCATGACCGAGAAAGGAAAGTGCAAGGATTAAAAAATTCAAGTTAATGGGTTTCCTAATGGCCCTAACTATAATGATATTGCTTCTTCAAGCATTCTTTTTAAACTGGGTATATGAAAAGGAGAGAAAAATGTAGCCTTGGTCATGTATTTAAATATTGCAATAATTGAAAAGATAACATGAATAATGACATCATGCGTGTGTTTGTATGAGAAGCTATTATTATGGTAGGAAAATTCAACTGATAAAGGTGTCGGAAGATATTTTTTTGCTGGGGTTCATTCAAATGTGGTCCAAAGTTTTGGAAGGAGAGCAAGCAAGGGAACAGACAAATTATACAAAAAGAAAGTTGATGCCATCATTTTGCATTAGTATTTCAAGGCCATTGTAGCCATGCTTTCGTTGAACCATCCGATTTTCTATATAAAAACTTTTCATTGATCAACTACATCCTGTCTCAACTCTCCTCATTTAAGCTTATCTCTGATATATATAACTTATATGAAGGTGGAGTCAGATCATGAAGATCCACATCTGAGTACAAATTTCCTTCAAAGAAGAGTCAACTTTGCATCATTGCTTCAAAGTTAGTTCACCTTGGAAAAAGCTATATAGATCACGGATGGAAAAGCTTGTAAGATCTTGTGACAAAGAATACATGAGGATGGCCATGTTGAAACATGAAGAAACTTTCAAAGAGCAGGTACTTCTCTCTTTCTATTCATATTCTTCTTCAATAAGGACTAATATAGGCTGAAAATCCTAAGAATTTTTTTAAACAGGTATATGAACTTCATCGTTTGTATCGGATTCAAAAGATACTGATGCAAAATGTGGAAGCTAGAAGAGGTATTGAAATAAGTGAACAAGGGTGGTACTTCAGGAATGCAATTGGTTTCACTCAAAATGCTAACCATAGAGGTGCACAAGAAAAGCCTAAAATGAAATTTGACCTTGAAAGGCCCGCAGAGGAACGCATAGCAGAATCAGATGATGGGGTGCTAGAGATGATAGATGAGACTGAGATTGAGCTGACATTAGGCCCCTCAAGTTACAACCGTAGGAAGAAAGTTGAGACACCACTGACTTCAGATTCAGGACATAGCTTGTCCTCTTCTTCCACTGGATCCAGCCATATGAACAAGACAAGATGTCATAGCAGTAATGCAACAAGAGAAGAATCCAGTGGTAACATAGTACGCCTTGTCCAGGTGCCGGATTCAACCTCAGGGTGCCAGAGTGGAATTAGAAACAGTTATGACATTGAAGAACAATTAAGACAAGAGAGATTAAAACAGTCACCTTGGCTTTTTCAAGTGTGGAATCTGAACATTACCTAAAAAAAATATATCTAAGGTCAATGTGATATATTTATATTTCTGTTTTTGAGTCAAGACTAACTTTGTGAATGATGTTTTTGGTGAATGTTCTGCCAAGTTATCATGTGTGGTGGGATTTGATGTGTCTCGGATAAGATCACTTTTTCCCCTGGTGCCTAAGCCCAGTACTATTCCCAAATCACATGCCACTGATATTTCTTTTGTCCTGCAATTATTCACATTCCTTGACAGACAATCATCCTTCCATAGATTACGGTGGATAACTACTATATGTAGAGCTTACAAATTCAACTATTTAGCACTTTATCTGAAGGGAAATGAGATATTAGATTTTAATTAGATTCCCACATTCAATTCATCCTTTCAAAGAAGAAATTTTAGATATCAATTTTTCCATAATATGACTAAAAAATTGTACATCCTAATTCCCAACAGAGTGAGTTGTTCCTCCCAATATATTTTTCTAAAGCAATTGAACCCAGTTGTGTTTTACTAAAGTATCGCGTTGCTGCAGTCCATTCCCACTGCTAATGATAATAAATTGTGCTTTCAAAGGAATCAAACCCTTCAAACCTATAATGAGCGAGAGGAGGAGGATCAATGCAAATAGGATCATTTGATTAAATTTATAATACCCCTCCTAGTTATTTGGTGCATTGTTTTTTTAATAAAAAAGATCCTTAAGAACTCAATAATTTTTTTAGTTAAAAAACAATAAATTTAGTAAATTAATTTGTTGAATTCTCTCTCATAAGGATACAAGAGAATCACTAGTCATAAATACTTAAGGGGACACATATTAATTAGACAAAAAATATTAAAAAAGAAATTTTAATAATTTTAAGAATATGTTTTAAAAAATAATATAAATTTCTAACAAATTTAATATCACTAACTAAATTCTTAATTATTTAAGAGGATGATGTACCTGTATACAGAATCAGAGGTAGAATTGTTTATGTAAAAGATTGTTTTTTTCTCTCTCCCCAGTCTAATTTATTTTCCATCCATCACTGACATATCATCACCGCGTACATACTAGCCAACAAGAAGTTGGAGATCCAGTATCTGTCTGCCATCAGATGGACAGCAGATTCTCTAGCTAATATTAAAACATCTTTTAACATGTTTAGGTTAGGTCTGTCCCAATATATATATATATATATACACATATTACTGCTACTACATTTATAATGCCCTTAGAATATGCATGCATTGAAACCAAACGGTGATCTCTTTCTTTGTTAGATGGTATGATTAGGCTCAAACATCAAAACGAACACTGCTAGGCTGTCCGCTTGATCTATTTACCTTTCCAAAAGCTTATCTATCCCAAAGGACTCAATAATTCAAAGACGGACCCCACTAACTGCTGTTATCGAATATTGTATTCTTCCTGGTATCTTATGGTCGTTGGAAAGATGTAGTGTCGCTGTATTGTTACAATTTGACCAGCCCAATGTTTCTAAACTCATTCATAAAATTGTGCTCTTTTTTCAAAATTTTATCAATAATCCTTGATTCAATTTCTGTTTAATTTTTCCTGCTTTGCTGATACTGCAAGCAAAAAACGGATTCTTTCTTTTTCCTTCATCACAGACAGAATTACAAGTATTTGAATATTTAGTAAGTAGCTATGATATTACACTTTTAATGACTGAATAAAATGAAAATCTTTCACATTGTCCAATCTATGCCTTTATTTGTTGCTTGCCAAGAATAAAAATGCTGGTAAATATAAGATTTTAGAATTACTTGTGCACATGATGAATAGGAAATATTAAAATGTCCTGTTTTAAGTAAAAATATGACCAGAATATTGTTTATAAGGTTGAGATAATAATTTTTTTCACTAAATTTTGGCAATGAATTAGACACAATCTGTTTCTAACAATAACACTAGTTTTTTGGAATAAATACGGATGATAAATTGATTTTTTTCATTCATGTGTTTTCAAAAATACATAACAAGAATTTATCTACAGTCAATTTTTATTAAAAGTCACCCAATATTACAAAATTTAATATATTAATGACGTTAAATAATATTGTTTTTAATAAAAAAATATATATTAATTTTATATTTGTGCAGTGGACATATACTTAAAAAAAATATTTTTTTTTCTTATTTTCGTAGGAAAACATTATTATCGCCCCTCTCCAGCTAGACTGAAATGCAAGCAATGACTGAGAAATTCTGTTATTTTTATCACCCTATAATAAATACATTTAAAGTTCTTGATGTTTGCATGAGTAAAACACTAAAGCAAAACTAGGAAAGGCTAGTTCTGTTTACAAGCCTCTGAAAACATGAAAGAACCTGTGGCAATAGTTCTAGGATATGGAGTGGCGTCGATTCTTATCCGGTTTTGTGCGACCTTTGGGAGGAGCTGTGACCGAATCGGCGCGTGGAAAAGGAGAAAGACGGCCAAGTTTTTTGGACACTGAGTTTAGAAATGATATTCGATGCAGAGGAGGCTTACCAACAGGAGGTGAAGCATATATTACAGGAGTGCTTGACGCTGATTTAATTGCAAATTTATCAATCTCTTTTAATTTCATTTTCAATTTCACTATCTCTAATTTTAGTTCTTCATTTTCTCTTCTTAAGCTGAAGATCTCATTTGAAACTGGATTAAGTTCATTGGAGTATACATTCACCTTTTCTGGAGCCGATAGAGAATCCCAACCTACGTTGCCGTCCATGGTTTCGCGAAGACGTTGCTGTTCATGGTAAATAACTTGAACCACCGTTTGGATCGGAAGCCTGTCGTTTTGAGCAGCGTGTGCACATGCTTCTCGTGATAACCTCTGGCAATCCATTACGCTGCAAACTTTCTTTCTCTCCATGTCACTTAGAATAGGATGAGCCTGACAATTGTGAAGTATAAGAATTTTATATTAGAGGAATACTTGAATTAAATCCTTCAATTCAACGATGGTGCCACTGTAAGTTCAATTTTCTCATGTGCCAATTACACTGATAACATCAATATCTAAAGCCAATTCAAATGTAATGAAGCCTAGTATATGTGCTTTATAGAGTCGGAAATCCAATACTAACTTTTCTAATCATTTATAAGAAATAAATAATCAATTTATAATATCAATAAAAAATTTATAAATTACATTTTAAAAATATTTATGAATTAGATGGTCAAATTAGTGACTTATATATTAAAATAACAAGTGAATCTCTTGTTAATCTATAACGAGTCTGTATTTTTTATAATTAAAAAAATATTAATAACTACTTTTATAAAAAAAAAATCAGAGATAGAATTATTTTGCAAAGCACAAAAAAAATATGTTATTCGTATAATAAATTTTTATAATAATTTCTATATCCACTGTTCTTTTTTATCTCTTTTCCTCACATCAATTTTCTCATAGTTATTTTTCTTCTCTTCTCATTTTTCTAAAAAATCGACATCATTAAAAGATACTGTGTGATATATGGCACAAGTTACGAGCATATAAAAAGTTTAGAAGCGCACCTTGAGATAAATGTCTACGGCTCTATACATGCCATCTTCTGTTGGTCTAGCATGCTGAGGAATTAGTTCAGCAAGACTAATAAACTTTGAAACGGGTAAATTTCTGTCTGCAGCTATTTCCGCAAGGTAGTTCTCCATTAGCTTTCCAACCCTGTAAATACCTTTTTGTGAAGGAGAGAAGTATTCATCATCTGCACTACATTCTGAATAATTTCCCATTTCAGATTCAAGGTAACACATCATGATTCGCTGCACTGTATCTACATCAAACAAAGTGTTCCCCGTAAATGAATAAGAAGGGATAAGAAGATCGTCCAAAACAGCTTGTCCCAATTGCATGGCCATTCTCTTCTCCAAATGAAGCCTGCAAGCAACAGTTGTCTCAAGATATGTCGCTGCCCGAAGCAACATAGAAAGAAAGCTCACTGACATTGCATTCTTCTCCCTTGGAAGAAGGTTCACTAGTGTCTCTATAACAACCCTCTTCTCGTGCTCTTCTTGTGGTTCCATCTTCTTCCTACCCTTCCCAAATATCTCCTGCTCCATAAAAACAATGTTCCAAGATTCAGTGTGTGCTTTGATTAATTGTGAAAAAAATTATTACTTCAATAATTGATTGTATTTATAATTAATTATACAAAAATTAGTAAAAGTAATTTTAAGATTATTTATGTATTAATTTTATATATGATATGTTTATTTATAATAGACAATTCTATATTTAATATGATTAATGATAAAATAAAAGTAAAATAAATTTATCTAATAATTTTAATCATAAGTTCTAAAATTTAATTATAATAAAAAGTATTTTACTAGAGAAAAAACTAGCGGTTATGATAATTTTACAGAACATGCTTACTTCCCTACTAACAATTTTTACTTTTAAAAAAAACGCAAATTAATATTTTCCAATCACTTGGTGAATTCATATTAACCGCATAAAAAATTAATATATATACTTTATCAGTGTATATACTCAATGAAGGATAAGATAAAAAATATAAAAAATGTAATGAGTAATATGACAAAAAAACAGAAGATAAAGAATGAAATAAGGTAAAAAAAAAAAATACTAGATAAAGATAAAAAAAAATAACAAATGATGCAATATGATAAAAAAAAAATAGAGAATACATCAAGTTGAAAAATAAAAGAATATTTATATTTGTTGTCTATCTTTGAGGAAAGGGTCTTACCAAATCTCGTAGTGATTTCTGTGCATAGAGCATTACAATAGGACCAACAGCATACTGTTTAAACCCTCTTGCCATCATTGCAACTATAACTCTTTGGAAAATGTCAATTCTGAGAACTGTGAGATCTTCAACCCACCAATCAACTACTTGCTTTTGGTGACATCCCAAGCCATCACTGCTAATATCTCTTCTTCTAGATGAACAAAATTGACTTTCCTTAGGAACTATGAATGCAATGGCATCTATGCACCGGCTCACCAATTTCGCTTTCTCTGCAAATGGAAAGAGTTGTTCTGACATATGTAAGATAGACACAGCCCCAGCAATACTGTTAAGTGCCACTTCATTCAAGTATGAATCACTCCTTCCCACTAAATTCCCAATTGAATAGTCCTCTGTCATCTCAAGATACTCTGCCGCACACCTAAGCATTGCAATGTTTTCAATGCTTATTTCGAAGTTTATCCCATAGCAGAATTTTGCTGCTAGTTCAAATGCTTCTGCTCCACCAGGGACATCATAGAGTTCAATGAATGAAACATCAGCATCGCTGGATTCTGAGACCAGTTTTCTTATGTATCCACACTTTGAAATTAAAGGAAACTGCACATCAAATTAGAAGATATATAGAAGAATTCAGTAACCTACAATAATAATGATTAATTAGTAATATACTTATTTCTTAATCTAAGTTTTAGTTATAGATAAAAAGCAAAGAATTGGCGAGAAAAAAAAATAGCATGATGTCCTAGTCAAAGAGCCTATTGACAATTACAAAGGACTAGAAATCGAGAAATCGATATTCTCCATAATGGTGCTCAAATTAATAAGTTTTATGTATTTAGCAAAGGGTTCGTGTTTGAACTTTGAATTGGTTATTTCACACTACCTTGTGCAACGAAAAGGAAGCTTCACCAACTTGAACAGTGACATCACTTGGAAACTCATGAGGAAAAATCCTGAAATTAAGTAGTACAAGTCACGGGTTTTCAGTAATTTTTCTTACATAAAATAAAGTGTTAGCATTAATAAATGTTAGTTGCACAAGAAAGTTGGCCATGAGAGACACCAAAGAATATTTGAGATCAGAAGCATACCATTCACTTGTTCTCTTCATGGCACTAGAAATAAGCTCCTCCTGCTCCAGAAACAAAGTCACAAGCGGCTGGTGTAGATTCTTGATCAACGTCCACCACGTCAGAGACAGACTTCTAGCTCATTATAGTTTATTTACCTTACAGTTGAAAACACAAAAAAGAGTGAAAAAATGTAGAGCCAATTGAAATCTCATTTAAGCTTACTATATTTTTGGTTATATATTTTATTCAGGGCAGAAGGGTAAGGAAGCAGAGTGTTTATTTTATATCGCTTTGAAACTTTATTGCTGAACTGAACAAGTACTAATTCCGGAGCAACGATTTACGAAATCCCAAAGTAGGGTCTTCTTACATGCAAGAAAATTAGAAAATCAACCCCAGTGAGGGGACAACAAGGAATATGAGTGGTACTTTGGAAGTTACAAAATATAAGCGTGAATATGGCTTTGTGGTGTGTGCTTTAAGTGATTTAAAATGTGAAGGATGAGAATGCTTCACGTTGATTGTCGTCTAACGGGGTGTGGTCTTTCTTCCACTTGGAAAGTCTTCAAGTCACAAAGATGCCGTTACCCGTTTGGCGTTTTCATTCGCGTGAAGCCTTGCCTATGATCGCAATCTAATTGTGCTAAACTTTATGACCAAAAAAGAAGGGAAATTATTACCTAATAAAAGTAAAAATCAAAGGAAAAGTGTGTTACTCTGAAATACAGAAATAAACACACATGTTGATCCAAAATTGTCAAAGCGGACAACGGAGAAAATGGTTGACCGACACGATGGATATGAATCACATCCTCCACGAGTCGAGGACAATGTTTTTCTTTAACTGATTACTTTTTTTCTTTTCCATCTAGCGCACTCATATCCTTCATGGAAATCAATCATGTTGGAGCTAAAATCTCATGGGACTAATTCTTCAATGGAACTTTCTCCAAGCACAAAACTTTATGACATTATTTTAAATCATTTTTTTCCAAGGTATTAGGATAACATACACGTACTTTTAAATATTTATTTTTTCAAAGAAATTAAATATATTAAGATTAACAAAGTTTAACATAATTATTAAATAATTAGGTTTTTTAAATATATTAATTAAGATTTTTTTAACTATATTAATGAAAAATAATTATTAGTAACCTAAACTTGCAGTCTCTTTATCTAATAAAGTATTAGTCTTCAATAATTAATTGAGAGATGTACTTAGTGCATCAAAAAACATACTAAATACGAAAATATAAATCTTTTTTTTTTTTTCCTAAACACGCCATCCTACTATATGCAGGGTATGAATTTTGATATGTGTAAGGATATATTTTAGTGATTCTTACATTATAATAAAAAAGCTCGTATGATTTTTGAAAATTATTAATTAAGAAAATCAAAATAAAAATATTATATTTTTACATAAAATTATTTATTATATTAAATTTAGGTGGGATAAATTTACCTTGGTCTCCGCAATAATAAGAAGTTTCCATGCCATGGCGCGCCTGGGTTTTGCTTCCTATTTTTATATAGGTTATAAAGGTGCTTAGGTACCGATCGAGGCAGTGGTAGGATATATCGTCGGCAACAATTGGTACTCCCAATATAGTGAACAACTTGGTCTGGTACCTATCAGAGACATTTTTTATGATCTTGCTCCCTCATCACCTATAATAAGTCAATAAGGGTCCCTTTTAGAATGCAGACTAATCATCACACACAAAGATCATTTATATAAATCCATATCATCAGTACCGGATGATTTTTCTATGGACCTTTCGTTGGATTGGCAATCCAAATAATGTAGCACATATATCTTATGGTCATTCATCAAATTAGAGGATACCCTGCAAGACTTTCATTTCTATAATTTTAGTTTCCAATCAATGAATCCATTGCCTCTGATACTTGGTTACCCACTAAACAACAAATCAAAATAAAAGGCATAAAGGACTTGAATGCATGCCTTAAAGTAACTGGTCATGCTTGTCGGATTGCTCACAAGGGGTGTGAGATCCAAATTAATAGTCAGGGATTTCCAACAACGTCAAAATCTGAACAAATTCTTGGATAGGTTTAGGGCATAGCAGGAGCATCTTTTTTATGTATACCAACAATCAGATACAAAATATGCTACTAATACTATATTCAACCATCATTTAACAATTCCGTGTCAAACAATATGTTGACTCTAACTTTATGTGAGAATTTTTCTTCCTTTATTCAAGAAAGAACTAAACGAAGTAGCTTAGCGCGTTCGAAGATGAACGAATTGGATAAGGAAAAAAAAATTAGGTGGGAGTTGCCTATTACAATTTTTTATCACTTCAACTATTATTTAACGTGCATAAAAGTATAATTTATTATAAGTGTAAATTTTGTGTGTGCAATTTTTTAAAAAAATATATAAAAATGTGCTTACTTCTATAAAAATTTTAATATTCATTCTACTATATATATTTATAATTAATATTTAATAATTCTTTAAACAATGTTCTTAAGACATTAGTAAGATATATACTATTTACTTTATTATTATTATATAAATAATAAACAAATGTCTTTTTATTATAATTAAACATTTAAAATAATTTCATTATAATATTTAAATAATAATATTTCTGATATTAAATTATTTTTATATAAAGTTAATAATGTAAAATTAAATAAATTTAAAATAGACTGCTAAAGAGTCCCACAAACTTATATTCCAACACGTGGTCTCTAAATCATCCGTTTCTTTTTTGGGTCAAGGGTCTCTAAATCATCCAAATGTCAGCAATATCGTATGAAAGCCCAAAACCCTGAAGTCTGAACCAACACAGAGCCCAAAACCCTTTGATGGATTATCCACTCCATGGAATCATATCTCATTCTCAACTCACAGAAACACATATCAACAGTAATTTAAATTTTCAAACCCCATCATCACCTGCAAAGATTTGAACAAATTGCTCCTCACAAGTAACACTTGCTGATGGAACTTTCTTCTTCCTTCACACTCTCTCCAAAACCACCACCACACAACTTCTCTTTCTCATCCACATTCACTCCCAACCCAATCCAAATCCAAATCCACACCAAAACCCGAAACCCCACACGCAAACCCCTTCGCATTTTGGCGGTAGCCATCGACCCTTCACAAGAGCTTCCAAAGAACAGTCCTCAGCGGCTCCTGAAAGAGCTAGCGGAACGCAAGAGACCCCCTCCATCCCCAAAGAGAAAAACACCCCCAAGAAGGTCCATTCTAACGCCCCCACTAGACGACAAAAAACTAGCCAACAGGTTCCTCAACAGCCCCCAACTCGCTCTCAACTCCTTCCCCTTGTTAAGTTCATGCTTACCTTTCTCGCGTCTCAACTACATCGACAAGGCGTGGATCGAGCAGAACCTTCTAGAAGCCAAACAAGCTCTTGGGTACCCTCTCGAACCCTCCGAGACTTTGGATGACGATAACCCCGCCAAACAGCTCGACACGTTGTTGTACCTGGCGTTTCAGCACCCCGCGTGCGAGAGGAGTGGGGCGCGGCACGTGCGGTTCGGCCATTCCAGGTTGTACTTTTTGGGACAGTACGTGCTTGAATTGGCGTTCGCCGAGTTTTACTTGCAGAGGTATACGAGGGAGTCGCCGGCTCCGATGAGGGAGCGGGTTTTCGGGTTGATTGGGAAGAGGAACTTGCCTACGTGGATTAAGGCTGCGAGCTTCCAGAATTTGATATTCCCCTTTGATAATATGAACAAGTTGTTGAGGAAGGACAGAGAGGCAACAGTGAAGTGAGTTCCATGTGTTGTTGCTTGTTGGTTATGAACACTATGGTGAAATTCAATTGATTAATTAGGTTAACGCATTGTGTTTTTAGTTGCTTGTAAGTTGCTATAAGGTTATTCTTTGAACAATAGGGAATTTTGATTTGAATATTATGTTGATGATATGTTGCTTCAAAATGAATAACTACCTGCAAAATTTGATTTGTGATAATTAAGTATGAGTGGCTTACTGTCAAAGAAAAATCTAGGAAAGGAAAGAGAAAAATTGATGATTGTTCTCTCATGATAATATATTTTTTGTTTGATTTAATCCATTTATTGTAGAGACATCTTAATCAATGAAGTGGGTCTCTGCCAATAATCTCTTTCTGAAATGTGTTGTTTTTGTTATTATATTGGTAGATCTGTATTTTGGGCTTTGTTTGGAGCAATCTATCTATGTTTTGGGATGCCAGAAGTGTATCGTGTTCTATTTGAAGTCTTTGGAATGGATCCAGATGCTGAGGATTGCCAGCCCAAATTGCGTAGGCAGCTTGAAGATATAGATCATGTATCTGCTGAATTTGAAGGCAAGATAAGCTGGCAAGATATGGCTGCGTATAAGGCAAGCTCTAAACATCTTGTGTCACAGTATTATGTTTCTGAAAACCTAGCGCATTAAGAATTAAATCTTGCATACATACGATGGTTTTCAGACCTAATCTTGCTTCATTATAATTCAAAATTGTTCTTCTGCTTTGTTTCCAAATGTGCATGAAAAACTCCTGTCCTACAATATAATTTGCATGTGTTGTTATTTGGAGAACAGCAATGATGTTTACTGCTCTACATTCAGCCTCCTGCAGATGCCTTGTTTGCACAACCACGGCTGTTCAGAGCTTGTGTTCCTCCAGGCATGCATCGGTTTAGAGGAAATATATGGGATTATGATTGCAGACCACAGGTTATGCAAATACTTGGATATCCATTAGAAATGACAGATAGAATTCCAGAAATTACGAAAGCCAGGAACATAGAGCTTGAACTTGGTTTGCAGGTATCTCTATTCTTGTCTCTCATTCTGCTTTTCACTTTGCTCTATTTGGTTCTCGCATACACATTTACTTGACATACTAGGGTCAGGGTTAAGGGTGTTTGATTCACCTCTGAACAAATAATAACCATGCTTCTATTGCCTGCATCACATCCTTGGTTTGTCTGTGCACAGTTCACCTCATTTCAACAAAGTTCATCTTAAAACCACCCAAATATTTAGCATATTAATGGTTTAACTAGGAAATAATCAATGTGTTTTACAACTTTCTTGAATTGCCGTGGAGCCTTCCATGGAAAAAGTGAAGTCAGTAGATCAGCTTGAAGGTTTCTTAGCTTCCATTTTTAGTTCTGACGCTATTAAATTTCTTGTTGAATTACAGCTATGTTTCTTGCATCCATCAAAGTACAAATTTGATCATCCTCGATTTTGCTATGAAAGATTAGAATACCTTGGCCAAAAGATACAGGTATATTTGATTGCACTTAGGGAATAATACTCTTGTTTTATACCTAGATATATCATATGCTAAAATTTTCTCAAATCTTTTTGGGAATTATGTAAAGGATTTGGTGATGGCTGAAAGATTGTTGATGAAGCATTTAGATGCTCCAGGGCTCTGGTTACAAGAAAAGCACCGCCGGTTGCTTATGAACAAGTACTGTGGAAAACGTTTGAGGGCCAAAAATCTCCACCGTTTTGTAATATTTTCTGAAAAGGTTCAAGACACATATGATCGCAACTATAGACTGAGATATCCAGTTGCAACAGCTGTTCAACAGGCACTTCACGGGCTTTCATATGCTGTTTATGGGAAACGTGACGTGAGACGTCTGATGTTTGAGGTTTTTGACTTCGAGCAAACCCTGCCTGAAGCAATGTAAATATAAAGAGAGAATAGGGAAACAAAGATATTAGAACTTTCCTTTTCCTCATATCCTTTGATCACCTTTTCATTCTTCTTTACATCTTTCTTTTTATTTTTTACCCTCTTGATTTGAATTTTTAGGTATATAATTATTTGATCCACCTAGTTTTAGTTGATTTTGACAATTCTTTTGAAGTGGCATTTGTACATATTCTTTATATTTTATTAATTTTGAGACTCAGTTCTAGACCCATAAAAATGCATGGAGACGAGGACGTGAATGCGAGTATAAGTACTGTATTCCTCTCTAGTCTCCATAGCCTAAGAGTCTAGTTGGTCAAGTAGATGAATTTAGAATGAAAATTGCCTTATACTTGCCTATTATAACGAAAATACGAGGTGAAAATAAATTGTAACTATTTACTAATGTCAGCCATTACCTCGCCTAATCACTAGGAACTAGAGCTAGTGGTCTTGCTCGTGGTAGGGGACTTTGATCCGTCTAATACAAACGTACTGCCCTTTACCTCTACTCTTGACCATTGCGGTGTGTTGGAGAGAGGGAAAAGGACTGGCAAAACTGGTTGCAACCAGCCTGGAACCAGTGAATGCCATTCACTTAATGGCAACTGTTTATCAATTCCAAAAACAACTTTTCTTTCCAGCCCTGATTTATTCTCTGAATAATTCTAAATCCTAATTTATAATATTACTTTGTTAACATCACTTGGGTTTAAGTATATATAAATAGTATATTTTTATTGAAGGATATAACGTTTATTGCACTTCTATATTTTTAAGATAATAAATAATTTTTTAAATAAATTGTATCTCTTTTATTTATTCATTTTTAGCTTCAATGACTGAAGTTAGCATTTTCTTTTTAATATTTACAAATTTTCATAATTACTAAATAAAAAAGTATTAAAACTATTTTACATTTTTAAAGTAATAAATGCATGTACTTTTTTATTTAATACATGATTATAAAGTAGAAGAATTATTTTAAAAAAAAAAATATGGGAGAATATATGGAAGCTCTCCTAGCCACGTTTGAGAAAGGCTTGAAATCCTAATCTATCATGCAGGTATGATATCTCTTGAACCCATCATAGAGGCAGATCGATCTAGCTGTATTAGATGTTGTTCTTTCTTGGGAAACAACTATCTTCAAACCTCTGATCAGACGTCCTTCTGTTGATTTGCTGATAAGGAGAATACCTGCAAAAGGCACTCCGATGGTAAAGTCACGATTCGGTTCTGAGCAATAAATGTTATTTAATGATGGGAAGTCAACCCCTTACCTGTATTTCTTACCTTCTTTTTATAGACATTCTATTGGGCTAATGGGCTTGAGTCAGTTTTTATATTGAGGCCCATAGTATTTTGATTATCTTTAATTGGATTATTTACCTTTTAATCCTGACAAGGGCTACCCGGTCTAGTATGCCGAGTAGTATGCCGAGTAGGTATTCGGTTTCTTTTTCCTGAGGGTGGAACCGAGTTGATTCCTTTCCCAGTACACTAGCCCCACAAGCCTGGCGAGTTGCGAAGCAAGGGCTTAAAAATGGAAATGGTAATATTAGAATAGGTATTCGGTTGGAGTGCTTATTACTGTATCGAGAGGGTCATTTGGTTAGGGTGAATTGCAATGCATCGTGGGGGGTGTCCGGTCTCGAGTGATGGTAACGTTTGATGTATTGAGTTTTACATTGAGGAGTAATCGGTTTAGTAACAACACGATATAGGCCGAGATTATAATATAAATAATAAATTTGCGAAGGAATATTCTAGAATGTTGGTTTTGAGGATTTGTCAGAGGGTATGTGAAACGAAAGGGTGCTCCATCTCCTCTGTTGATCTGGAAGGGATCTGATGGTTCGAAACGAAAGGGTGTCTTTTCATTTGCCCGACATCAGTCCCTTATAAATATGTGGTGGTCCCTGCATCCCTTTCTTACTCTTTTGCTCTGTGTCGACCCCTGCATACCTTTGCTCCAAACCGACGAGTGTTCAGAGATCTTAGGCTTTTCTTCCCTACCGACTGCTCGTAAGGTGCGTTTCATTTTTTCTTTACTTCTTTTCTATCATGGCTGATCGTATTGAGTGGGAGGATTCCCTGTCGAATGCCTCGAGGCCGAGTACCATTGAGGTTGATATTATAAATGGAACCGAGGGGAGTGGCGAAGTTTCGTCTATTTCAAACCGGAGGATTGAAGAGGCACAGGTCGGCGAAGGTAGTAGCGAAATCGAGACGTCATCGTCAAGTGATACTGACGCTCCTGAACCCCTTCCTAGTACTAGTCCTCATTGGGAAAAGCAGGTGTTTCCTCCTTGTACGGTGCCTGGTTATGAGAGGGTGCATGGTGAGGTGGCCGCCTACTTTTCTCGTTTCAAAAGAAATAAAAGTCTTCAATTCTTTGTAGATAATTGTGATATTTCTTTATGGGAGGCTTGTGACCCGTATCCTATACACCTTGACCCCTGTAAAGGGGACGAGGGCGAGAACCCAGATTTTGTTTTCCTGGGAGGTGTCGGAATGGCCGACACCTTCTTTATGTATGAGTACATGTTTAGGGAATTAGGTATCAGGCTACCCTTTGACGATTTCCAAATGGGGGTTTTGAGGGTATTGAATGTAGCGCCAACACAACTACACCCGAACGGGTGGGCGGCAATTCAAGCCTTTAGGATACTTTGCAAGTTCCATTATATAGAGCCTAGTGTAGGTCTTTTTCTTCATTTTTTTTGTACACGTCCATCTGACCTGGCGAGGTGGGTATCTTTAATAGGGCAACCCGAGTTGCCCTTATTTAAGCCATATGCGTCGTCTTTTAAGGGTTTCAAGACCGGTTTCTTCAAGGTAACCGTGGACCCTATAGATAAAAATTATTTTTTTGATAGCAAGGACAATCCTCTATTCCCTTTTCACTGGACTCGGGTGTCGCGCCGATACGACACATTTCCTGAGGATATGTTATCGGCTAGGGAGCTGTCAGATTTGTAATTCTTGAAGTCCCTTCCCCGAGACATTCCTGCCCGACATGTAGTCCTCGTCCTCAAGTCTCCGCGTCCTCAGTGGGATATGGAGGGTATGTGTTATTTCGTTTCTGACTTGTATTTGGAATTGAGCTATATTGATTTGACTTGCTATTGTTAATGCAAGTTTAATGGCTCAGCGAGGTGTGGATGTGCCGACCTTCCGGCACACTCTGAAGCAGAGAATGCCAGAGGGAACGCCCGTTGAGGAGCATCGCCATCCTCAAATTGACCAACTTCCCGAGGTGCCAGAACCTCGCCCTCCTCCCCAAGATTTTGTTCCAGCCGAAGGCCCCTCCAAGAAACGCAAGGACAAGGGCAAAGGCAAGGAGCCCGAAAGGGAAAGGAAGAGACGGCATGCCCACTCGGGTGAGCCTGGCGGCGTTCAAGGGGCTCAGAGTCAAACCCGAGTGGTAGCTGCTGGGGAGGGAAGCAGTTCTTCCCCTGTAGTTCCCTTGGACATGCTGGCCGAGGGCTTCCTGGTGAACAGGATACATGTCGGTCGGCTCGCTACTCCAAACCTGTTGTCTGATGCAGGGAAAGAACTGGTCGGCGGTCTGGACTACGAGTCACTGTGGCGATACTACACAGAACTTCATGTTCGGTCCACCGCAATGCTCCGAAGGCTAGTTGTGGATCCTATTCTCAAAGTTAAGAAGTTAAAGGCTGCCTATTCGGCTTCTGAAGAGGCTTTGGCCGAGAGTAGAGAGATTCAAGCCAGTCTGGACGAGACCGTTCAATCCCTGCAGGGTCAGGTTAACCAATACAAAGAGCACTTTAAAATAATGGAGGACTGAGTACACGCAGCCGAGGAGGTGGCGAAGGTCAGGGGGGAGGAGATGGAGGCGTTAAAGGCAAAGTCCTGTCAAATGGAGGAGGCTTTACGGGCCAAATCTGCCGAGATGGAAGAAGCCTTGGCGTTGGAGAGGCAAAAGGCTGAAACCGAGATGAGGAACTTTGTCGAGAAGTGTTCTCAGCAAGTATCCTACGAGCATGAAGCGGGTTTTAACCATGCTATTCGCCAGTGTCATGGGTTCTGCCAAGTACCGGTAGACTTTCATTTTGACATTACAAAGGACTTTTTTGGTGGGAGGTTCATTCCTTACACCGAGGTTGAGGACGATGTAGAACCTGACGTCGAAGTGCCGAGACGCCTCCCTGAGGATTCTGCCAACCCTGCGGCAGCCGCTCCCAAGGCAGCGGAAAGGATAGAAAGTTAAATTATTCGCCTTGTGTATTCATGGGTCATTAGTGCCCACATTTTGTAACTAGTTATTTTGAAATAGAATTTTATCCTTCTTTCTCATGCTTTGTATCTTGTCACACAACTTGCACTAATATAGGATATGCTTAATATACTCATCCTTAGCCAAATAACTTGCACTAACATACGATACACTTAATATACTCATCCTTAGCCGAATAGGGGACAAGGGAGATGATTTCGTCTTAAAAATTCAGCCTTAACCAAATGATAACTAAGAGGAACTCGTAATTCGTTAATTTTGACCGAGTGGGAGTATTCGGGATTGAGATATTTCAACCTTTAGCCAAGAGACGCTTGGAAGAAAAATGATAATTCATCCTTGACCGAGTGGGGGTACTCGGGAGGGAAATATAATTGTTTCATCCTTAACCGAGTGGGGGTACTCGGGAGGAAAATAATTCAACCTTGGCCAAGTGAAACTTGGGAGAGAAATATAATTGTTTCATCCTTGACCGAGTGGGGGTACTCGGGAGGGAAATATAATTGTTTCATCCTTGACCGAGTGGGGGTACACGGGAGGGAAATATAGTTGTTTCATCCTTGACCGAGTGGGGGTACAAGGGAGAGAAATATAATTGTTTCATCCTTGACCGAGTGGGGGTACTCGGGAGGGAAATAATTCAATTTTGGCCAAGTGAAACTTGGGAGGGAAATATAATTGTTTCATCCTTGACCGAGTGGGGGTACTCGGGAGGTAAATATAATTGTTTCATCCTTGACCGAGTGGGGGTACTCGGGAGGGAAATAATTCAACCTTAGCCAAGTGAAACTTAGAGGGGGGGAATGGTGCTTGAAAGATGTTTAGTGCATAAAAAACCGTATAGGTGAAGAAAGAAAAATTTTATTGATTAGGTGTCTCGTTAAAAACCTTCTCAGGAAAACCCCTTTCACTTTCTTTTAAGAGGATAAAACCTGGGATAGGAAAAGAGTACACCTGTGCACGTATTACAAGGTTTTAGCTATAATAATGCTTTAAATGAGTGACATTCCAGGTTCTCGGTATTAATTTTCCTGCCAAGGTTTTCAACTTGTATGCTCCGTTATTTAATCTTGCCGTTACCTGAAAGGGGCCTT